AAATTCTACAGATATTTTTATTTTACACACCCGCAAGATAATCATCAGAAAAACAACCATTACGGTTTCTGTTAAAATGGACATGAGTGTTCAATAAACGACTAACTAAAACTTCAAATTACTTACAGTTTTCTTCTGCAAGACAAAATATTCAAACGAGGTTCGTACACACAAATCACTAATTAAATTAGCTGAGACCTCAGACGCCTGATGAACCGTGGCACGCACAAACTTGGTCCTTCAGCTTCTTCGCTCCGACGTAATTGTACTAAAGTTTATCCTTATTTTACTTTAACGTAATACCCATTAAACTTGGAACCGCCGTCCCAACGCTTTAACAAAATAATTCTCATAAAACCTCTTCCGAAAACAGCACAAACGAAATCCAGACAGGCCTTTAACTTACAAACAAAACTCGAACTGTTCTTCTTCATCTCAAAACGTCCTCGACCACGAAACTGAGTGAAACTAACTCCTTATTCTCTTCTAACGACAAAAAATACTGCTACAGAGGGACAACGGTTCGGCCACGAACTTCAACAAACGAAATTCGAACAATTTTTACCTAATAATACAACGTTTTTAATGATTAAAACAGGCACGTTATCTCCAAACAATTACCTTTATCTGTCACAAATTGAGGAAAATCTTAATAAATCAACTCGAAACTGTTACATTTGCACTAATGAGCAAGTTGATAACAAATAAAAATTTAATCCATTCCAAATGTCTTAATTTCAAATACAACATCCTGACTGACATTGTTTACACAGCATTATGTTATTAAAAAATGTGACCCCCCTCCCCCAGAGCACGTGCTGATGCACCTAGCCAGTGTTTTTAATTTAATTTTACAGGTAATAAAGTAGCGTCATAGGAGTTTTATTCTATTTTATTTCAAAAAATGGAATAAATAGTTTACTATATTATTATTGCACACACAACGTCTCTTAATGTTTCAGTTAATTAGTTCAAGGATGCTTTAACCGATAGGGCCCATGCAAGAATTCTTTATCCATGGCACCCTCACACGTACACCGCAGAACAGTTAATCGCTGCCTTTCGGCATCCACATATGGCACTCACATTGGTGCGGCGGCAAAATATTGTTTCAGTAAAACCTCTGATGCTGCTGTTTCTTCTGTAGTAATTAGCACCAGGGTGCCTCCATTACGTGGTGGGATGTACGCCGGGAATATTGCTTAGCTGCGCTTTCTGCTGGTGGGAGGGAGCTGACTGTGGGAGGTATGTCTTGATGGGATCGCATGCCGTTTGAGGAAGCATAGTTTCCCAGCCTATGCAACGTCGTGGTGTGCTGAGTCAGGGCTGTAAAGGATAACTGCCATTTGCTAGATATCCACTCCGGCTTGCCGGCTCGTGTATCGCAGTTCAGTTAAAGCAGGCTGGACTGTGGTGCTAAGGGTCCCTGGTTCGAATCCGGGTTCGGGCATGGATATTTGTAAATGTATAGTAGGTTGGGTTGGTAGAGCAGCCTTGGCTGAAACCCCGCCCACTCAAAAATAAAGGAAAATAATAAATAAATAAATAACATGAGAAGCCCACCTTATTTCTCCTGAATGTTGCACATGTATCGCAGCCGGCTTCTACGTAAAAAAAGTGTTTACTTTTTTTCTATCTGACATGGATAGTAAGATCCGATAACATCCCAAAAATCAAACTTTTCGTTCTCACCCTGTATGTCAGAAACAAACGTAGCTAAATTGATACTGTTTGTGGTATTAAAGATTCAAACCTAACAGGTGGTCAGTTCGAATCCCACAACTTGCCAGTTTTTAGTGGTACAGGACATCTCGTAACTATCATGCTTCGGAAGGCGGTCCCGGCAGTCTTACCACGACTGTTGTTAGCTGACACAAACAGCTGTTGATGCGATTTGGAAACGTATGTAGGTACCTAGGGAGTGCCACCCATACGATACCTAATTAACTACTTCTTTTAATGGTCACATGCTATAACTTCACGGGCCTACTTTAAACCTCTTACAACTGCTTGTGATATTCCACTAGATCAAAACGACTGACCGTAAAATTCACTGAATAACAGTCGGTGGGAACATCGCAAGAGTCACAGACTACTAATAAACACTATTTATTTGAGACGAAATACAAAAGTAATACATATACGTACAAAAGATTACAACTATTAGAAGTTTTGATTAAAAAAATTATAATTCATAGGATGGACGAAAAAGTACTTAACCTCAAAAAGGGGGTCCCAGTGTCTATAAGGTTGAGACTAGGGTTGAGAGCTACTGCACTACACTAATCATATGGACGCATGTTAATTTGGTTGCTCCACCATTTTATATCAGCTTCATTTCCCTCGGCTCAAACTCAAACGAACTGCTACCCAAAGACCATCGAAATAGGCATATTATCTAAAAGTTCGCACAAATACAAATAATAAAGTTTATTTTTCATTTGCCTATTATATGTCAATTATATTTGTCATATGTGACATATGAAGCAGTCTATTACGCCCAAGGGCATACCTAATGAGAGGGCATAATGGATGGTCATCTCATTGTGCCCTCAAACGGCCTGTCAAATTGATTGACGGGGTTATATTATGTAATAAAAAAGATGCAACTTGATTCGTATGAAGCATTTTAATGTTGGGCAAACAATAATCATGACATTTGTATATTGGAAATGCATTCTTTGGAACGATGAAAAATAAAATGTTGTATGCACCTCAGGCATTACTCAATATTTAACCCTCGGGCGACATACAATCCCTCGGGCCGGAGGCCCTCGGGCTCTGTCGCCCTCGGCATAAATATCGCCTTAATGCCCTTGATGCATAAATAACTATTGTAACTATTTTTATGACATAATTTACCTTTAAGGCTAGATAAAATATATGATTTATAATAAATTTAAGTATCTATAATTGCAATTCTTGACAATGAACTGTAAAAGATCAATGTCTCATAAACAAAATTTCTGCATAACTCCTACCATCACTCACTCACTGTGCTAGAACCTGAAGGAACCGTAAAATTATACTAGAAGGTGCAATCAAATGAATTATCTTGCTTGCATACTTGCTAAATATTTCCTTTATTAGCACATATGCAACCCTAAAGCTTCTTGAAACGTAAGGAAATATGCTTCGGTTCAGTTTTCGAAGTAGGTATTAGATAAGATTACCATTAGGGATATGATTTATTTCCACAGTCTCATTCTGGAATGTATCCCGCGATGTCAATAACTATACGTTCAAATGGATTATCGGCGTTGTATTTTCGCATCGGTGCCCTTTGTTTTTTAACTGCACCGCGAGGACTTCATATAGGTTTCAAACAACGTCGAGGATACTGGACTGTTGAAACAAGTTTGTTATATTCGCTAAATTGTGCCAATAAGATTAGGAATACTAACAAGACAGTCACAATACTTCGGAGGGCGTTAAACTTCAAATTCAGATAATGTCCGAAAAAATGAAAAACTCACAATCCAATATTGGAGACGGTACTGCTTTCGGTAGATGACATTCAATTAAGTACTTGAAAAAGACATTTTGTAACGCAGACAGGATCCGTAGATTGCTACTTTAGGGCTTTAATTAATAATTAATTTTTAAGACAAGGTCGCAACACATATGTGAGGTCCGCGAATCCGTGATTGGCTAACCAAGATGATATTTGTAGAATACGTCCTCTTGCAAACTGGCACATTAATTGAATTACAAAGTTATAAACTATAACGGATTTCTCATAGTTCTAAGGGAACATCTAATGAGAAAATTTTTTAATGCAGTTTTACCTTGTAGGTAAGTTAGAATAATGAGATCTTGTTAGTACGTAATTAGTGAGATGATTATGCTTGAGTTATGTTGCACTCACTCATAAATATTCTTTTAAGGAAATAATTATATTTTCACGTTCATTTTCTTATATAAATCTGAGAACGATAACAAATGTTAAATCTTCCGACTAATTAAGTTTAAAGACTTAAATAAAATTTATAGAAATGGCAAACTTGGGGGAATAACAAACACCGAGGGAATGTCGTTGGTACACAATTCATTCAATACAGTAGGGACTAAGTGATGAGGAAATTGTATTTAAAAATAAAATAAACAATTCTAATAAATAACATGTCATTGAAGTCGAGAAGCGATCAGAATTCTCCACACGCACATTTTGCACGCAGCTGCGTTAATTGGGGCCTTTATTTTATTGCGAATCGTGATTCCGGAACGAATGTTAAATTCGGTCTACTGCTAACATTCACAATCCCATCGTTAGACGCACAATGAGATCCGCTCTTTAATATGCGCAACTTAGGGTCTAACTTTATGAGAAATTTAATAACATAGAAGCGAAATTAATAAACTTTAAGATTATTACTGGATGCTCAACCGTTTTGTTATAACTCAATATTATTAACAAAACCTAATGAGTAATCCTCGTACGCCGGCTTAGCCGGCAATATTACCGGCCAATTGAGTTTCATCTGGCAGGGTTCAAGGAAGAGTTTAATAACATTAGCAATTAGGTCTTAACTTGTTGTTTTTTTACCCAATTATGCACATACTTGACATTGTGAAGGAGGAAACGTTGCCTAACTAATCTCATTGTGTTAGTGATCGATAACAAGCCTAATTTACGACTTTCATTTCCATTAATAAGCGTTGTCACACCTCCCCAATACATAAATTAAGATCCTTAATCGAAACTTTTATGCTGCTACCTGGAGTATAACTATCTCCTTATAATAAATACAACTTCAATAAATCAATAAAAGTTAAATTGCGCCTCACAGCTGCTGAGATAATCGTTTTACATTTTTACAATCATGATTTTGACGCACACGGCTTAAAACGAACCGAGTAAAAAATTTCTCAATCATACCGCCAACCGTATTTTTATGTCGACACCATACGCTTACACGCTACGTATATTCTTTCCATGGCAGAAATTTATCATACAGTAATTATACATCTGATGGTTATTAATTTTTTTTTCTTTTCAGTGGTCCACTTCGGCGAACATACCGTACGAACTAAAGGTTAAGTGGATTGCTTGGACGACGCGAGACTGTGGATGTGATACTGTGCGATTCCACTATTATATTCTAAATTAAACTAATTTTTTAATCGTTCCGTTAATAGTAATTAATACCGACGGACTGGTGATATCGAATTTACTTAATATCTCTGAATAGTATCGAAATAAGTATTTATATTTGATCGATTCCACTAATTGTACAATTTATCAGTGTCTATTACGTTTTTCCTAAAATTATGGCTTATGAGCTTAATAGTGTTTAAGTGTATATAATAAAGCTGTTTCAAAGATTCTTACAATTTATGTCAACTACGGGTTTCGTTTTGTAATATAATAATATTGTAATTTACGTAAGCACTTACCAGAGTAATGGTTGTGTATTTGTAATATTGTAGAAGAACTAACAATTCTGGCAGTGCTGTAGTAAATTCCTGCAGTAAACCACAACGATATTACTAGGTTTAAGCTGTTTAAACTACAATTCCTATAGATAATAAATTAATTAATTTTATTTGATTTGTACATTCTGTAATATATTAATACATACTATATTTTCGTCGAAAATTCCAAAGCACGTTGTATATATTATAAGCTTACAAACGTAACTTTTAAATAAATTATTTAATTTTTATTCGAGAATCTTACGTGTCTTATTTATTGCTTCAATTTCTGGTTTACATTATACCTAATAATGCCCGCCTGCCTGAAAGGAAACTAGTTACACATTTAATAAAAAAAAGAAGGTAGGTAAGCTTAAAATTATTCTTATAGCTTTGTTATTTCGAAATCTGGCTTACAGAATTTTTTCAATATATCTGATCGAATATAATATCGGATACAAAGGAAGGCATTTTAAGCATAAAATTTATTTCTTTCTTATTTTGGAAGAGTGAGATTAAATACGTTTATATCGCGGTTCCCACTTTGGATTTCAAACAAAACGCTTAGACCTTTTTAATTAATGTAGGCTGTTATTTTTGTCCTATGCGCACATTCATTTTGTGTTGTTATAATGAAATTTTACTGACAAGTATGGCATTCCTCAGTGGGATGTCATCATAATAATTGAAGACGTCGCTTTAATTGCTAATGATTCAAGTTAGCGCATCCAAAATGATCCAAATGGGGAACGGAATGTGACATCGCTACACCTGCACTAAGTTGGTCCCCTAAATTGAAGAACCGATACGCCCTGAACACACTAATTTGTACCTACTGGTGTATCACATTTTGTGCCTCAAAATTAACGGCGATCCGTAATTTTTAATTTTTTTCGCGAATACATCTTGTAACAATTCAAGTTCGCACGTGCTTTTGTTTTGTGTTTTGTGCTCCTGCGTTTTATGCACCTGTTTTGGGTCTCGATATATAAATATTCTCCAAAGATGACGTAATAGACTGACGAAACATTGTTGTATATTTCACCAGTGTATTACGTCATATTTGGAAAACCGTAGACTTTAGGCGTATGATATGTTATACTAATCACTAAATACAGGGTGAGTTTTTTCCACTTCCACTATAGGGGTCTCGTAAACCGTAAACCGTAAATTGTAACTCTCAAACCAACATTCGAAGATTAATTTTCAAATAAAATAATACGTAAATATTTGGTATCTCCGATTTTGTATTGTTTTTCTCTATCTAGAGACATAAAAATCAAATATGGCGTCCATAAGAAACAAGAAAGTTGATGTGATTTACTCGAAGCCCACAAGGCATAAACATTTTATTTTAGTAGCTACTATCAGAAAACTAAGAAACACTGAGCGACTTTGTATCTCTTAATCACTTAATGTTTACGGGACCACTATAAAGGAAGTGAAAAAACTCACTCCGTATTTCATAGAATTGTAAATTGTCATTAACATCTTGTCTTGACGTCACGGTTATTTATGAACCAAGTTGCATGAAATTCAAACTGGGAATAGCAAGTACCATATAATATGCAATGCAAAACGTTATGTCCACTCAGTTCAAAAACACACCATTTGGCCTCTCCGTCATTTATGAATCTAATTTCATGAAAAAAACTAGGCAAAGCCAGTACCATTTTAAATGCAATGTCACCGCTTTGGCACTTTTGATTATATATCGCCAGGGTGGCTATTTCTCGTACATGTTCTGGTGTTAGCACATCTAAATGATGCCTAACCAAGACAAATCCCGTCAGGGTGCGGGTCTCCGCTTACAACTCGAAGTTAACCAAGATGCTGTGGGTGGCATCCATTGAACCAGAATGTGATTCTAAAGATGTCTGCAAAGAAGAGGTCTGTAATGAGATAGGTCGGCTTCCAGGCTTTTTAGTAGTAATATATAACTCCCAGACGCGTTACTTGCATTTTCTTTCAGAATTTCCATGTATAATGTAGTCAATAATCGCTTTCCGAAGGGGAGATTTTGCACAAGATCAAGGATAGAAGGTAGTATAGGTAGGAGAAGAAAGTGGAAGATTTTATTACCTGGACAGTCGTCGAACAATGTCTCTGCGGACGGAAGGACATAGACATTTTGTAAGAACGGAATTAGTTGCCTTAAAATTTGCGTTATAGTCGCAGCGTTTTTGAGTTCTGATAATTATTTTGAAGTAATGACTGATATTTTCTCAATATAACTTTGTGTCGATGACCTCAGCCGAAAACATTAAAGATACGGAGGAAGAGCATAACCGCAGAGTGACGCGGTGCAAGCTTTATAGGGGAGTCGATGGTGTCCGTCTGTCCGTCCGTGAATCCGATAACCGTCAAACGCTTGGACCGATTTGGTTCAAACTTTGTCAAATCCAATGACCCCTTGTTGCCACGCCGCTCTGTCTCTGCCAAACGCTTGAACCTATTCAGTTCAAACTTTGCACAGTTGACATGCCACATGTAGTAAGCCTATTGAAAATGGGTCAAATCCAATGACCCCGTGGGGTCACGCTTCTCTGTCCCTGCCAAACGCTTGAACCTATTCGGTTGAAAGTTTGCACAGTAGACTTATATGCCACATGTAACAAGTCTATCGAAAATGGGTCAAATCCAATGACCCCGTAGGGTCACGCCTCCATGCCTCTGGCAAACACTTGAACCTATTCGGTTCAAAGTTTGCACAGTTAACATAGTGTGTAAAGCGATGGGGTATACAAGAGGGAATTTTTTTTTAAATATTGATTTATGAAAAAAATTTATTCTTCATGATATTTTTTGCTTGCTTTGAAAGTACCAATAACGTTTCGATTGTTTGTGGTTTGATAGCAATAAGCCGCGTACAGACCGGATTTCAACGCCAAGCCAACGAATCCAAGCACATGTGACGTTGGCGTTTGTCGTTGGAAACGATTGGAATGCCCTCGTCCACACCAAAATTTAAGATTTGAGTTGGACTTGGTGGAACCGTGTTGGGTAAAATTCGGTAACGGGTGCTGCTGGTCTGTCAAACAATGTTAAGCGACGAGGACGATTTACTGCTGACGAGTGCGGGGTTTTTAATAATGAATTCTTTAATTTCAAAGAAAAAGAAGAAAAAACGGCCTAGGCGTTGGTGGGTAACAACACCATTTAAAAATAGGAGTTTGTACAGTGGCAGTCACTTACTAGAGGAACTTCAAAATGAAGATGGTGGACATTTTAAAAAGGCAGACAAACGACTAAAACTAAAATCGCGACAAATCCTGTCCACATCACATCAAATTTCCCTTTGATGTACCGCTCACCGAGCGAACGCAATCGAACGCCAACAGCGTCGTTGGAAGCGGTTGGAAACCGTTGGCTTGCGCGGTACACACCAATCCCAACACCTCCAAATCTGTAACCACAGGCTTGCGTTGGAAACTCTTTCTGTACGCGCCTATACGCTATTTTGATCATAATGTAGAATAACTTTCAATAAAAAAAAATTAATTTTATAATTTTTCCAGATTTCTATAAATAAATTTTAGATTATCGAAACGTTATTGGTACTTTCAAAGCAAGCAAAAAATATCATGAAGAATAAATTTTTTTCATAAATCAATATTAAAAAATCCCTCTTGTATACCCCATCGCTTTACACACTGTATCTTATATATCTTTAGTGCTTCTCCTCCCTAAAATTAAGCAAGTTTGTTATTCTACGCTATGTGTAGGAACAGAATGGGACATTTCAAACTTAGTGATAACATGGAGAAAAAAATGCAAAAAATAGTGCTCATGTCTACGAGTTTGATACTGATAGGTACTTACCGAGCACTACTGCTTTATACATAAATTATATCTTTCTGACAGTTTTTAACATTATCATTGTATCCATTGTATGATATTGACTATACCAGGAGTGACTTGACGGTGAACTGATTGATGAAGATGAACTTAAATGTTAATTATTGGCTAATACCTTACCCACGAATACGTAACTTGACCCGACGTAGGCAGTAGTTTAAGGTTTAACGGTTTACAAAAATATACGATATAAATTATGAATGAAAAATGTGTATCTTAAAATACTTCTGCATCATTTGATTTCATATTTCACCCCCTTATCTCTTTAATCGTCGTGACATTTAACCTGCACAACGCATGTGCCGGTAGTGGTACCTTATAATTAATTAGATATCCTAAAATATTCCCTTTGGTTAAGAAAGATAAAGACATTTTTAATTTAATAGGCGATTTTATCAAGGAACGAGATCGGTATGTGTAAGTGTCGCATTCGGCAGTAGCTTGACCATGTTGACACAAGCAAGAGTGGCGCCGTTAAGAACGTGGGAACTTACTTAACAAGTTTACGAAAGTTCCTCTCTGTGTGTGTTTATGGCAGACCGGGGTTGTTTTTATGACTCCTTGCAATAATACTCCCATTGTAAAAATTGTAAACGGGAACACCGCATAAAGTACGCGAGTGTATAGAAAGGTGGGTGCTGTACTACTATGGTTCAATATTCCATGGTAAAAGCGCTCAATTAAATAATATGTAGTAGTGAATAATTCCATTGCCTATGATTTATCAGATCACATATACGTAACCGAGTTAGCCATCTGCGCCACGACACTCCCTATTTGTAATTAGCATGGTTAGTTGTTTGACAAATAAAGGTGCAAGAGTATCTTTTCTGATGTGTATTATTGATCTTCATGTATTGAAATCTGTAATAATTAAATTAAAGAGCCAGCAAGTTATTTAAAGTTTGATGTGAGACATTCTAAGTTTAAAGTTGTGTAGGCGATGGTGTTTCGATCACATTTTTCTTGTGGCCTTAAAAAAGTAGGTTATCTATCCCTCTCTGAAATTTCGCTTAACCGGTTAAAGTGCCTTTCTTGTGACAATTTTTAAATAGGTACGGCAAAAACTTTTTCAATTGACTATTTATTTAGGATCCTCAGATCCTTTTATAGTTTTGTATTGATATCCGCCCGTCCGTCGGTGCACGAAAACTTTTCAAAGCAAATTAGGTCTTGACGTTATTGATTTTCAGGTAGCTATGTCAACAGGAACAAACATTATGGGTGAATCGAAAACATTAAAGTTTGATAATTAAGTTAGAAAACGATGTATTTCATTCTCTGGTCATTTATCGAGTTTGGCCTTTCAGTAGATTACTCCTTCTCCAGCGCTATGCATTTAGAGGTAGACATACGGATTTCCTATGTGTAGTTTTAAATGACAAAAACTCTGCTGAAGGA